ATAAATAAATAATTGTATTTAATGGTAAATAAATAATAAATAAATAATTGTATTTATTGGTAAATAAATGAGAAATAAATAATAAATAAATAATTGTATTTCTTGGTAAATAAGTGATAAATAAATAATAAATAAATAATTGTATTTATTGGTAAATAAATGATAAATAAATAATTAATAAATAATTGTATTTGTTGGTAAATAAGTGATAAATAAATAATAAATAAATAATTGTATTTGTTGGTAAATAAGTGATAAATAAATATAAATTAATAATTGTATTTAATGGTAAATAAATAATTAATAAATAATTGTATTTATTGGTAAATAAGTGATAAATAAATAATAAATAAATAATTGTATTTGTTGGTAAATAAATAATAAATAAATAATTGTATTTCTTGGTAAATAAATGATAAATAAATAAATAATTGTGTTTATTGGTAAATAACCTGGAGGCAATTCCTGCTGAGCAGGAACACCACAGGAACACCCCAGCAGGTTTTTAAGTCAACATGTAAATAACAAATTTAAAATAAGATTAACTGGGCCTGTCCTAATAATGACTGCAGGTAAAGAGAGACTTACTCTAAAGTAAAATTCTTCGTTCCATTTGGGGTTCAGGGTCTGTAAAAGAAATAATATTTACACACTAAAGTTTCTTTAGCTTGGCCAGTTTGCAATCATCAGAACGTGCAGCAAGTGACACTTTTCTAGGGGGGGAAAAAAAAAATGTAATAAAAATAATATTGTCACCAAATTATCCCGAAATTCTCTGCTGAGTAAACCAAACGGGGGAGGATATTTGAGTTTTGAGTCAGATGATCCTAAAATAGGATTCCATGAGCAAAAGGCAAAATCACTGAGAACCTGCAGAAATACAACCTGGAGATGTTTCATTCTCCAGATTCCTTTAAACCCAGGTGAAAAAAACAAAAAAAAAAGAAGTATTTTTAAAACACAAGAGTGTTCTTAATGTTTTCCAAAAGCAGCGGAATTAAACAGAATATTCACGTTTGAAATATACCTTTTTGATGGTTTTTGTCTGCACAAGAGCGAGTTCCCTGTTCTCATCTGCCACATACAGGGAGAGTTTCACGTAGGGGTCACTGCAAGAGAGAAGAGCAGATTTTATGGCCTGTAATTGGGCAGCCAGGGAGGATTTCAGGGGGGATTTGCCGGCAGATTTGCCAGGGAAATGTGGGAACTGTAAAAAGCCACTTCCACTTCAAACAACCCTTAAGGAAAACCCAGCGAAACGCAGTTAAAAATCCCAATTAATCTGCTCTAGCCTGACATGATCAATCAGAACCCAAAGAGAACATCCAAACAGCTCTTGCTGTATTATTCCACTTTTTTTAGGCTCCCAGAGGAGGGGGAGGAGAGCACAGGAACAATCAAACCAAGTGAGGCCTACGTGGCTCTATTTTTGCTTCAAAAGCTGAAACAGCCTCCCCCAAGCACAAAATTTGTGTTATGCAAGGGGGTGTGCAGAGATTTGTGAACTTGAAAATCGTTTAAGCACAGCCAGAGACAGCTCTGGGCATGCACTTACCAGAGTTTAAAAAGCTTTAATTTTAAGATAATTTCCAAAAAATCCCAGTGTTTTGCTTGGTCACCCTCATATTCAACCAGGGGAGGGCCACAAAGCCCCAAACATGCATCATTAAAGAAGATTAGAATAACAGGAGATATTTATTAAGAAGTTTTACCCAGAGTAGTAAAAGCAGTGGCCCAAGGCAGGATCTCTTGGAATCACTGTCATTTTATCCCAGGGACTTTCCCCACTCCAGGGAATGCTCAGAGTGGATGGGCTGTGTTTGCTTTAATTTTAGCTCCTGGGGTTCATCTTTGCCTGTCCCCAGTGCCACCCAGGAGTTTTTCCCCAAGAGAGGAGGATTTTGACTTTGCTGTCACACAAATCCCGTGGCTGAAGCAAAGCATGAAGTGACCAACAGCCCAAGGACGAAGGAGCATCACCTTCCAAAAAGAAAACAGAGCCTTACCTTGTCCACAGCTGTGCCTGAGCATCCCAAAATCTCTCCCAGGCCTCTCCTTCCCCTCCTAGGGGGTTTTATTTCCCACAGAAAGGCTCCCACCCTCACCCAGCTCCACCAGAAATGCTTTTACCCCAAGAGCTGCTGAGAGATAAGAATGACTCACAGCACAGACAGCTGTGGGTGAAAAAGGGAGTTCAAAAATTACAGCTCAAACTCCACCTCCAGTGTCTCCTCCCTTCTAATAA